AAATCTTTTTTTTTTTTTTTTTTTGGGAGTTAGAGACTCTATTTCCTTTTACCAAACAAAAAACAAACTTGTTAGTAGTAAAGAATAACAAACACTAATTATCAAAAAAAAAAAATCTAAACACAAACATTTCTAAAACTTTTAGAGAAAATTCTTTAAAAACAATATTTTTAATATTAACAGATTTAAGGACATTTCAGTAATTTTAACAGAAAAAGCGCTTAACGACACTTTTTCGCCAAACGCATCACTGCTTGTTTTCAGATTCAGTATTTTTATCCAAACACGTAACTACATATTCATAAAAACAGCTCCCGCACTTAAAAAGTGTTTTTAAGCCCTTGCTGCTCTTATTCAGCTAACCCAAACGGGCCCCAAATTTATACATCCCTTGTCCCATAGGATTGAGAATCAGTACCTCATTATTTGCTTTCGAAAGAAAGAATGGTTCTTTTTCACGCAGCCCATCACTGTCAGCAAGAATTCTCTCCAGATCCTGCAAGTTAAAGAAGAATAGTGACAATTAAAAGAAACATCACGTAGAGAAAGTCAGTAAACAAGAAATGAACACAAAATTGAGTAAAGTACTGAGGGTTGCTACTTGGTACAACTCCTCTCAGAATATATTGTAAAAGACCCTTGGGATAATCCTACCCTAGTTGATATTGGAAAAAAAATCATATGGAGAAAGTATACAGGGAGAAAACACGAATTATGAATAATGTATGAAGATATGTTGAGGACTTAGGGTTGGTACGACATCACTCAAAATGTCATAGTGAAAGGGCAATGTATTAATCCTACTCTCCAATAGCCACTGAAAATGGACGAAAGCTAGTACTCCTGTGAAACAATTGAGGCAAACTTGAAATATAGATACTTCCCAAGAATTTTTACACAATACTGAATTTCAATGGGGAAAGTCACAATTTTCAATGTGCTGCATTCTTACTTGACCAGAGCTTATAATTCATTATATATTTTAATATTGTTGCCTCTTTCTGGTAACCATTCCAATGGAACCACTCCTTTGTGTGAGTGATCGTAAGACGTTATTCTTCTGACGACTTCTCCAGGATCTTTTTGTGTTGATGCTCCGGAAACATTCTCGTTACGATTTACACACCAATGCAAACTACACTAATTATATTACCGTACCACTTTTTGGTGTCTCAGATTAATTCCCTTCTGTGTGTGCTACAAGAAACATTTTCCTTAACTATGCAATTACCAGCAATTTTGGAGGGGTAAAACATCAGCACCATTTTTCTTCCTGTGATTGCTCACTATTTCGTGAAACAATTTGGGCGACTCGTCAACAATTTGAAGGGGCATATTTAAAGTTAAGAGAATCAGTGAAAATTTGTATATTTGTATAGAATCGTTTTAGTGATTTTAACAGAATAATTTGGAATTCCAAATCAAAGCTCCTAGCTGAGGAGCCTCCTTGTATGCTGTTAACTACCAATGCAATAAGATATTTGTCTTCTCTTCTTCTATTTCTACAGCTTTATCCAGGAATTATAAGTTTAGGAATTTAAGCAGGTCTGGTTTTATTTAATCACTGAGGACTCACTTAGATTTTGTGATTTGCAAAGGGCAAAGCAAGATCACAAGAATTACAGAAAACCTTGTTCATGCAAAATAGAATGCCAAAGTGCTATCCCAACCAAAAACCTCAAACTATTAAGACCCAGAGGCACCATGAAGAACTAAGTTTAAAAAAGGAGGAATTTCAGATGATTTTATTTTAACTTAGTGTTTGCAATTTCAAACACATATATCTGCATCAACTTACCTTTCTTGTCAAGATTTCATACTTGAGCAGGTCCTCTACAATCTTCTCTAGCACTTCTCGATTTCTCTGTAGCATTTGTTTTGCTTTATCATAAGCCATATAGTATATCTGCGCCAAAAAATCAAGGCAGACAATTATTGAATTAAGGACCTTGTTATCGAACAAGGTATGGGAAAATAGTTTATGTCTTATTCCATGAAGTAATCAGTATATATACATGTACAGAATCCTAACTATGGAAAGAATCAAAAAAGGAAAATTTTACAGATATGCTATCAAATCCCTTAGTTATGCTATCATGTATATAACAACGAATATGACTACATTCAATCTTTAACACTCCCCCTCAAGCTGGAGCATAGATATTGATCATGCCGAGCTTGCTACAAAGGTAATCAATTCGAGTTCCACTCAACGCCTTGGTGAACAAATCAGCTAGTTGCTCCCCCGTCTTCACATAGCCGGTGGAAATCAAGTTTTCTTGAATCTTCTCACGAATGAAATGACAGTCAACCTCAAGGCGTTTAGTTTCTTTATGATACACCGGATTTGAGGCAATATGAAGAGCATCTTGATTATCACACCTGAATTTTGCTGGAGTATAATAGTTCAACCCAATTTCAGTTAAAAGGTGATGTATCCACATAATCTCAGACATAGACTGTAACATAGCTCTATACTCAGATTCTGCACTGGATCGAGATACACCATTTTGCTTCTTTCTCCTCCATGATATCAGATTACCGCCAACAAAAACACAACATCCTGTAGTAGATCTTCTATCAATTTTAGATCCAGCCCAAGCAGCATCAGCAAAACACTCAACACGAGTATGGCCGAGATTGCTAGTACAATATGCTTAAGTCCAGGAGCTCCTTTCAAATAACATAGAATATGTTCCAAAGCTTCCCAATGTTTGACCGTAGGCGCGGACATGAACTGGCTAACAACACTCACCGCAAAAGAAATATCTGGACAAGTCACCGTGAGGTAGTTTAACTTTCCAACTAACCTCCTATATCTCTCTGGATCATTAAAAGGATCACCATCATCTTTCATTAGATGCACATTGGGAACCATTGGAGTAGTGCACGGTTTGGCTGTCAACTTTCTAGTTTCTGAAAGTAGGTCAAGAATATACTTTCTTTGAGACAAAAAAATTCCCTTCTTTCTTCTATTTACTTCTACTCCTAAAAAGTATTTCAACTGGCCCAAATCCTTTGTACGAAACCTAGCATGTAGGATAAACTTAACGGAAGAGATTCCCGCATAATCACTTCCTGTGATGACAATGTCATCAACATATACAACGAGGCTAGTAGAAGACTGAATGATCACATTTGCTCAGTTTCATCCCAAACTCCTGAACTGCCTCACTGAACTTGCCAAACCAAGCCCGAGGACTCTACTTCAAGCCATATAAGGACTTCTTCAAATGATAGACTTTCCCACACTCCCCCTGGGCAACAAAACCTGGTGGTTGCTCCATATACACTTCCTCTTGAAGATCACCATGAAGGAAAGCATTATTGATATCCAACTGATGTAAAGGCCAATTTTGAGAAGCGACTAAAGAAATAAACAAGCAGACAGAAGTGAGTTTGGCAACTGGGAGAAAGTGTCTGAATAATCCACCCCATAAGTCTGAGCATACCCTTTAGCCACAAGTCTGGCCTCAAGTCTTGGCACAGAACCATCTGGATTCTTTAACTATAAAGACCCACTAACATCCCACTGGTTTCTTTCCCTTGGGTAAATTCACCAAATCCCACGTGTGATTATCCTCTAAGGCATGTATTTCCTCAAGCATTGTATCGACCATACAGGATGATTCAAAGCCTCATTCACTGTTTTGGGTATAGAGATGGAGTCTAGAGAAGCAATCACAGATCTAGACGTAGAGGATAAGTGGTCATAGGAAACAAAATTAGCAATGAAATATGTGGATTTGCAATTTCATGTATATTTGCTAAGAGCAATAGGAAGGTCAACGTTCTCTGAAGGTTCAGGCGAAGGGGGATCTGATGATGAAGGAACTGGTGCAGGACATGTATTATTGGTCTCGCCTCCTCGAGTAAACTTGAACAATTGGCGATCTTGCTAATGCAGACGGAGTAGGTGGTGACCGTATAATAGTCGATTGATGCTCAATAGAAGAACTAAGTGATGGAGGAACATCATCTGATTGTTGTGTCAAAGCATGGGTAACCTGATAGACTAGCCATTCATCTTTCTCCCTTGACTTGTACAAATTGGAGGTGCATAGAGCAATGGTGTAATCTCCGAAAATACCACATCAGTTGACACTAGATACTTGCCAAGTTCAGTAGAATAACACAAATATCCCTTCTGAAGGCGAGAATAGCCCAAGAAGACACATTTCAATGCCTTCGGATCCAATTTGGTAACAAATAGTTGAACATCTCGAACATAACATGTGCTTCCAAATACCATAGGTTCCGCTGGAAATAGTGACTTATTTAGAAAAAGAACATTGTAAGGCGTATTACCAACAAGCACTGTAGATGGCAGGTGATTAATCAGAAGACAAGCAGTAGAGATCGCATCGGCCCAAAACCGTTTAGGGACCTTCATTTGAGACAAAAGTAACCGAGCTGTCTCAAGTAGATGCCTATTCTTCCTCTCAGCATCTCCATTTTAAGACTGTGCATCAACACATGTAGACTGATGGAGAATAACATGTTGTCTCAGTAGGACTAAAATAGTTTTGACATGTATTCTTTAGCGTTATCACTCTAGAGAATCCGTACTGAAGCATTAAATTGAGTTGACTTCAGCATAAAAGGCAAAAAAGTGAGTAAACACTTCAGAGCGGCTCTTCATAAAATAAATGCAAGTCATTCGAGAGAAATCATTCACAAAGGTAACAAAATACTTATGCCAGTTTTGGAAATAACGAGACATTGTCCTCAAACATCAGGATGAACTAACTCAAAAGCTGACTCAATCCGCTTATTAACCCTTGGACATACCGAGCTACGATGGTGCTTTCCCCTGATTTCATATTTTGGTGAAAGAACTCCTTTGATTCATCGAAAATGTCGCTTGGATCAGATGCAAAAGACAAGGCATTCAAGATAGTGCAAAAGAACTCCTTTGATTTCATATAGTGCAAAAGACAAGGCATTCAAGATCACCTAATTAAACAAGCTATGTATATTGAAGAGAAAGTTCGAGCAGAATGGGAAATGATCGATGCTCAATTGTCTAGCCTCTTATGGAACACTATTGATTCTAAAATGATGCCTTTGTTTCATCCATCCTAGACCTGCTTTTTAGTTTGGGAAAAGGCTCGTGCCCTATACACAAATGACATCTCTTGCTTTTATAATGTGATTTCTAGTTGACTAAACCATTGAACCCCTTCCTTCTTTCTTTCTAATATAAATAACACAAAATAACCATTCTATAATTACTAGGGACAGTAATGTAAATACATAAACATAGTAATTACTCCCTTCTTTTCAATTTATGTGTCTTACTTTTCTTTTTTGAGTGTTTCAAAAAGAATGTCTCTTACTATATTTAGTAACTCTTTAACTCCAACTTTCTACGTGACATTATTAATACCACAAGATTCAAGGATATTTTGGTACATTATACACATCTTTAGTTTAAGATCACAAGGTTTAAAAGTATTCTTTACTTCCTTAAACTTCGTGCCTAGTTAAACTAAGACACATAAATTGAAACGAAAAGAGTAACAAACAAACACAATTACATTCAGGCTATAAATCATCCTTGCCTCTACGGTTGTACACCCTGGTAGCTTGAGCATGTCTAATAAACCAAGTAATACTCCAATATATTCAACTACTCGAAGAATAGAGATCCACGAAATACCCTGATAATTTCTTAGTGGTAATCAAGTTGCACTGCATATTTGCGACAAATGCTATATAAAGATGTTTTTAGAGAACCAAACATATCAAAATCAACTGTCATTTTGGTAGAGAAAAGAAAACATTGACCCTAGATTCATAAAACAAATGACCAACAATAACAAGTATGCCTCAATCCCAAACAAGTTAGGGTTGGCCATATGGATCCCCAAATATCATGTATCTCCATTTAAATTCATCTTAGGCCAACACTATACAAAATAAAATTGTAAAACCAAAAAACCAACTGGCTAAACCAAATGATCAACTGACAAAAATAATCAACAAGTCACTTATAAGCCACTGGATTAGCTGCATAAGCAACAAGCCTGATGCATATAACACGCATGCAACCAAACAAGGAATAGTGTTATGGGTGTACTTGGTTAAACTTCTACCTAGATAAACGTGCAAATACAATAGTGTGATATGAGTGTCCTATATATACATTTATCCAAATACCTGAACCTAACCTTTGTTTTCACACATTCTCCCAATCTTTTCTCTTATTTCTTATCAAAGATGTTAAACCCTTCTGATAATAAGCCCAAGCACACACTACGACTACTACATGTAGAGTTTAGCTGAAGTCAAGCCAGATGGTGGGAGCTGTAAGAAGAGGCCAAAAAGATAGCTCTTCAAAAAACTGACTCTGGATATTTGTATTTATTACAAAGATTAAGTACCATTTCTGGCCCACAGTTCCATTGAAGCAAGAAAAATTTGCACATAGAATTCTCAGATAACAAGAAAATAATGTTTCATATCATCAATCAAAACGATCAAGGAGAATACTCAATAGGTGGCTTTATACCTTTTCCACTTTTGCAGCCATCTCATATTCAAAATGGTTTCCCATACTCAAAGCTGTGACCTATTCAGAGCAGCAACACGAAAAAGAAGACAATGAGACAAAAATATATCAATGAAAAAAGAGCAAATTAGTCACGCACCAAGATATACAGCGTTAATCAGTTACTTATGTTTGACAAATATTTTAACATGCACACATATATATACATTTGGGCTCCCATTTCCATGTGAAAATCTTTTTGGCAAGATATTTTCGTGGCAGAGATGTGGTTCACCCATTAGCGTCGAGGTGAATTATCTTATGGTTTGGTTCCACCCCTAACTGTTTGCAGCCAAGGTCATTATAGCAAACAAAGTGATGTGGCTCACAAACTAACTTGTAACATTCAATTAATATGTTAATGTCTTAGGAAAGAGAAATGGTTCATGAAAACTATGGGATATCAAACTTTAGTGAAGATACAAAGGGGAAATATCTTTGAATGAAATAAAAGATCATGCAGTCAAGAATAAGATGGGGAAAACAAAGGTAAATACCGAATTGCCATGATGGTAAATCGTAAGACTATCATCGGGGCCCCAACCATATTGAATCACCATCCTTGTAGCTATCTGTCACAAAATACTATGAATTATTAGGTCCCAGTATCCACAGCAGAGTATATGAGAGAATTACAGTTCAAGAGGGCAAGAAGAGAATGTTACAACCTCTTGTGCCTGCTTCAGCTCTGATGAAGAAAGAATGTTTTCTTCCCCAAATGGAAGCAATAGCTGCGCCGCAACATAAGAACCAAAGCAAAAAACTAGTCTTTTTTCAAGATATGATCTTGATTCAACATTCCCACTGATAGAACCTTCATTTTTAGCTTTGGTGATCTTAGTACACCCAATTCCCTGAAATCAGCAGGCCCAAACTTTGTAAAAGTCAACATCTTCGGGACAGACCAAACACACATCCAATGAGGCAATCTTTCATGGGTTTAGGTAGGAACATTAGCTGTAAGCACACCTCTATGTGTCACTATGAGAAATCACCAAAAGGTATAGGGAAAAAATACATAAGGAGTTAATGGGAGTGTCAGCGTACAACTCACCCAACCTTATGGAAGACTGATCAAACCACAGGGGCAGCAAAGGAGATTTGTTACTTGAAAAAGCAGGGAGGATAATGCGGATAGATAAACCCCCAAAGAGGGTTTCAGTACTAAATATGCTCCAGTCTTACAAGGGTAAAAAGAAAGTACATAAGCATTACTGTTAGATATGTACATAATATAGTCCTGTCCCACATTAGAATAGGAGTAGCATGTCCTTGTATAGTATAGCTATAAATAAGGACCTCTTGTATTGTATTGAACACACAATATCAATATATCATATTTTTTCCCGTGCCTTCTCACATGGTATCAGAGCTATCGTGAGAGATTTATCGCTGTGCATAAATTCCAGCGATTCCTGGAAGTAAAATCAGTCACCGAAACCCTTTTTTCCGGCGACTTTTCAAAGTTATTTTGCGTCTGCTTTGTCTCGGTTAGTGTTGTGCAAAATCCAACACTACCACAAGAGTAGTCACAGTCTGGCGACCAAACCCCAGTGAAAATCTCCGGCGGTAGTGTAGCAGTCGGAAGAAAATTTTCCGGCGAAGTTCCGACGTCGCGTGGGCCACCTTGCGGCCATTTTTTGGTGACGATTCTTCAGGACAGATTGTTCCCCTTGCAATTCTGAGCCTACCCATCCAGGTTAAATCAAATTCCGACCACATTTATATTTTTCCGGCGTGAACAGTGATTTCAAAAGTGAACTTCCGGCCATTTTTTGAAAAAGTTTCTTCTGAACAATTGGGTCGTCTGGTAATTCCGATCCTACCCCATTGTTTTTATTTCATTCCGACCACTTTGAATTTTTTCCGGCTGCTACAGGAATATTCCGAGAGCTACAGTATTTCTGGCTGAACAGTGTTTTCCGGCACAGAACAGTGTTCTGTTTTCCTGCTGTAAAGAGTGTTTTCTTAGCGATTTCTTCAGTTTTCCCAAAGGAGTTACTAATTTTCACTATTTCAAGTTAACCCTACTACTATTAGATGTAGCGACATGGGAACCGATACTTCGAATAGTCGGATGGTTTCTTTAGCGGATTATTTTGAGTTTCTTTAGTACAATAGCAGGTAAGCAGACATCTTCTGAGATAGCTTCCGTTGTTCAAACAGGTAATAGCATGACTTGTGTCTCTCAATCTTCATCCTCTGAGCCTTGGGTCATTGATTCAAGTGCATCAGATCATATTTCTGGTAACAAATCTCTTTTCACTACTATTTCGTATTCTCAATCTCTTCCAAGAGTCACAATGGCCAATGGGTCTCAAACTATGGCAACTGCAATAGGTCAAGCAAGCCCAATTCCTTCTTTACCTTTAAATTCAGTTCTTTATGTGCCTAATAGTCCTTTTAATCTCATAGTTGTTAGTCGCCTAGCCAAATCACTTAAATGTGCCGTTTTATTTCTTGATGACCATGTTTTTATACAGGAACGCAGTACAGGGCGGATCATTGGTACCGGGCGTGAATCAAATGGACTTTATTACCTTATTCTTGCTAAATCACATGGACTCACATCTTGTCTTCCTTCAACAACTTGTCCTGTTAATGATTCACCAGATTTATTACATAAACGGTTGGGACATCCTATTTTGTCAAAACTTCAGAAAATGGTACTTGGTTTATCTCACTTGTCAGCTCTAGAGTGTGAGTCTTGTCAGCTTGGTAAGCACACTCGCTCTCATTTCCCTCGACGTATTGATAATCGAGCAGTCACCTTTTACTTTAGTCCATTCAGATGTTTGGGGTCCTAGTCGGGTCAGTTCTACCTTAGGATTCCGCTACTTTGTTAATTTCATTCTAGGTGCACCTGGATATTTTTGATAAAAAATCGATCAGAGTTGTTTTCTATTTTCCAAACCTTTCACGCTGAAATTCAAAATCAATTTGGGGTTTCTATTCGCACATTTCGTAGTGATAAT